TTTTCTCGTCGGTTAAGGAACAGCGGAATGAACCGAGGTAAATTCACTTACTTATACTTCATTGGTAACTATCATTGCCAGAAAACCGGTATTCTGCTGGATTAGTATTCTCCGAGAGACATTTCCGGGAAATTATTTGAGTACTTCGGGTTTACTATCATCCGCGAGTGAAAAGTACATGATGTATTTTTGCGATGCTAAGTCGCTATGTCCCTTATTTCGACCAAACAACAATTCTGTCACTTACGGCAATTTTCGGTATTTGGAGGTAGCATGGACCAAAAATCAAAGCTTCCTCCAGCGCGTGAGATGACGGGTGGTTTAAGCAAACTGTTTGGGAAGCAAAATGGTAATTGGATTATTCCAGTATACTTGATCTTTCTCAGTAGTCAAAACAAGTACCTAAGTTAGGTCACAAAATCGACAAGCAAGTGTGCAGAACAATAAGCAAAAGTTTGGAAATTGGCATCGAATGATTCAGCGGCAGTTCTACTTGGAAACTATTGAATACCCTGTGTTGTGTGTACTCCACACTGAGAGACAAGCCTCTGGGATGTGTTATGGTGCCCTTCAAATGGACGGGTAATCAGTTTGTATCCGTGACTGCGACCGTGCACCAATTTTTGAAAGGTTAATATTCTGCTGAACCAGTGGTCCTCATTCAGAGGAATTCACATCAGAAGGGAATTTCAGTGGACCAGATTTGAAGAGAGATATCAATTTAGGACACACCACTTGATAGAAAACCGGTTTCTGGATCTACCTGTCTGATGTTTGAATCACTTGACACACGTCCATAACACTATTTAGTATATTGATCCTTTTTTCCCGGTGTGTACCTAACCTGATATGCCAGTGATGGCAAATCCATGGTTAAGGCCTGTTCGCTGACGTTGTAAGAAAAGCTCTGTTCTGTTTTTTGCCTCATTGGAGAACTGTGAACGGATTGAGTTGCAATATGTTGTGAACGGCAGTTTCTCAGATGGAAGACTCACGCAATTTGCGAGACGTTTTCCTTCCTGAGCCAGTCAACTATTGACCACATGATACAGATCGCTCGACTAAATGACGACTGGCTCTATACCATGCCTGGATACGAGTTGATCACACAGCTGATCAGTCCACCGTGGCCAAGGGTTATGGTCCTTGACTAACAGCTAGGAGGTCACGGGCTCGAATCGCCCTAGATATTCGTCAGTTGTGTGCTACTAGTGACTCCCAACGAGAGTGAGGCAGGCTTACAGTGCTTCTCCACATTTCAGTACATATTGCGTTGTTATCCGTTAAACTTTAAAAAAAATCTTTCATCAAACTATAGAATCGTTTTATCCTTTGTGGGGTTCATTCTCCTTCTGGATTATATCTACAAAAAGGGAAAGGAGTAAAGATTGCGACACAATTGCAAGGCCTACTATTCATGAGTAGCTTTTGTATTCCTCAGATCAACAAAACAAAACGAGGGGAACGGCTAGTCACATGGTGCATAATCCAGAACATGTTCGGGGGCACCAAGTTATTTCATGCTCACATAGTTTATTGGCTAACAGTGGTTTGTGGACGATCCCTTATTCTTGAAAAAAATTAGGTCACGAAGCAACAAAATACGAATGTAGGAAAAACACCACCGAAAGTCAGATGGAACTAGGATCTCGCCAATGCATACAACTTTCCTACGCAACTCAACCGCATTCACTTTTTCTAAAAATGTGGGTAGCCGGGCATTCTTATCGATAAGTGTTGGTAACTAGTGTCTGCATGTGTCCGTTCAATTTCACCTGCTAGCAACTTCAGTTATCCGAATCACTGGGCTGAGGTGAGACGAAATACTGTATGCAAATCTCGTAGGTCTCAGAATGAAAACCCGAACTGAAAACCCTCTTCAAAGCATGGTAGAGAACACATCGTATGCGAAAACACGAGCGCCTTTGTTGTATCGTTCAACATTTTATTCTAGCTTTGATATCTTTGGGTCTTCGAACAGTTCTCCGTGTTCTTTCGATTCATCCTGCGATTTTCACGAAAAGCTTTCAAACTACCATTGTTTTATCATAGAAATCATGCTGTACTGGATTAAGATACATCAGTCTTGGGAAGAGAAGCCTAATCTAGCGCCTTCTATGCAAAAGCGGACGGAAATGCTCTGGCGGTCTATTAGACATTAAACTGCCCGAGTTCACTGGACAAAAATGTTCATTTATGGAGACCGTAGTATACTACTACTACATAATAGGTCTACAACTCGGCTCAGCACACACGCGCGCGCACAGGACAGGTGGTCCATCGAGCTCCAAAGTCACCACGGCTAACTACGGGACACGTGTAGCAGCTATACTGCAGGGAAAACCATCTCGCTTCCGGAACTCACCCAGGGACTCTCAACAGTTGTCCTTAAACGACTAATCGCTTGTTGGCTTATTCAACTTTTCCGATTATATCTATGTTTATCAGGGAGCACCAAATTATTGTGTTCATCATCGTTCTGGTAAAACACATTTGTTGGTGCTTGTTACCTTATGATAATCAACTACATTACGTTGCAACCAGAGTAGTGACAAGTCCTGTCGCCAGTCTCCAGGGTAGTGCGAACACGCAGCCTTCATGGTTGGGGTTGAAGACTGAACCTGTGGGCCACGATAATTGATCAACAGTCTGATCAACTCATTCTTAGACAAAGTATGGTGCCATTCATTCTTCAGTCACGGAATTCACATCACGTGGTTACTTGTTTAGTGGCTCATGAAATGAATTCGTTAGGTGGAGGTCTCATGTGCATAATCCCTTTTCCTGAGCTACGATTAGTCAAAGATATAAGGAGGTTTCCGGGATATTTCATTCGGGATTTTTCCACAGTTTCATAATGTACCATGCGGTGTGAATTCTGTGGTTGAAAGATAGGTGGGACTATATTTCCTATTCCAGTAAATCACGATGCCGATCAACCGTTCGTGGCCGATAGTGGCCATCAGTAATCAACTACTACCTCACAAAGATTCTTGAGGTGCGCACTGCTGATATTTCCCAAGAAGGATTAAACGGCGGTGCAATGTCTACTGGCTAATCGGCATAGATTGACTCAACTTACAAGACAAATGTTGATTGATTCAAATTTGTCTGTCTTGTACTGGACTTTTAATATATTGTACGTTTGTGACTGGCAAAATGATGAATAAATGGCTTTTTTCCCGCGCACAGTTGGTGTATCCTTGTTTGGTAACAAAACGTTTAAATGTCAAACTGGGTGATCTGATCAACCATTAATAAACGCAATCAAGCTACCAATATTTAGACGTATTCCCACTCACCTTACAACAACTAAGTATTGCGGACATGCTTGCGGATCTTCGGGTTTGAGCTGGAACGTCACACCCGACTGTTCGTCCGGTACAGCTAATTCGGTCACCAACAATGCTTGGTACACCTCGCTGTTATCTACCGCAATGCGAGAGGCCGGGAGTTTGGGGAATTCAGTTGTTGGATCGACACTTGTGAATTCCGGTGAGATAAAACTAGGTCCCTGATGAATAAATAAAAACCAGACGGATCCGTAGCATAGCACATCAACACTGTTGGAAGGGCTTCAAGTTGTTACTACTGCTAGTCTGCATTAAACCAGTGACACAGAGACCAATGATTCCACCTTTTATCCATCAATCAGGGAAAGAAAACAAACCTCTGGAGTCCTATTTATATCAGCTGATGTTGACCTGTTTTCTACGTAACCTTTCCAATTCTCTATACCCGATTCGGGATCTGTATTAACCCATGAGTTACGCAAATAATCTAGTCAAAACGGCAAATACAAGAATCCCTCTTACCAAAGCAACCGTTCTGTAGTTGAGAAAAATTGTGTTTGCCTATGCATAGATGTTTCTACGCATTTTCACCCTCTACACAGTTCAGTTAAAAGTAAGCTGACACGGAAATGCATTTCTGCGAATGACACAATATCTTGTCAAGAAGACTGATTGGCCACAATAATTACGTGACTGATTAGCAACTAGCCCTTCCTAATCGTCTGCCAAGTGACCCATAAACTATCGAAAATCAATTGAATTGAATTGAATAACACTAAACGATTCGCCAAATACTCTCGTTTGCACATTGATTTAATTTCAAAAGAAGACTCAGCTAAATCTCTTGTTTTTTCTCATGCGACTGAATGTGCTACACAAGGCCGCCTCGTTTTTCGACATTCGAAATACCACATCACCTTTTCTGGTCGCAGCACACTACATATACCGCCAAAGTTTTCGACAGCCCATGACCGGTCTCGCCCTTCTTGGGGCTCATCAGGTGGGCACATTCCCAAGTTTCCGGTATCCTTGTGTTCTACTTGAATGTAGATTTGATCCGAATCGGCCTGGTACACTCGTTTGCCCAATAATTAGGACTTGACTAAATCGTTCGTTCATGATGTTCTTGTTCAACTAAATGATCCTGCACTGTGCTAAAAGTACCCTCGATCAGCGACCAAGCACACTATTTATCGAGTATCAGGTCCTCCACAAGATTCGACAGCTAGTCAGGGGTATTTCGTGTCTGGTCAAATAAACAGCTGACTATTACAAGTTTTACACGCTACGCCAACCTCAACAGTTCTGTTTACTGTCCTTTCTGAAAAGCAAGAATAATGAAATCACAACCTACACAAAACACATGAGCTTTATTTACACACCCTTTTAGGTTTGTTAGAATCCTTGAGAATTCGAGCTAATGGTTAAAGTATTTTCTCATTTTTGCCGCTAATTTGGACTACATCTTTTTGGGGAAATCAATTTACTTACTTTACGTAAGTACAGCTGTCTGGCAAGAAAAGTTCAGCCAAAAAGGAAGGGATATCAGTTTCTCAAACTTGTTTTCAAATGGTTTACTTGACGGATAATAAATGGCGCGGTCTGTGTAATGGAAAAGAGAACGATTCTGGAGCGGAGACGCTCTTTTTGTAACTCAGGATGCGTTTTTTGGAATACAATCACAGTACAGACGCTTCCAATCTGAAAATGATGCTTCTTTGTGGGCGACCCCCCTGAAAAGACCACTGCAAAACTAAAAATATTTCCCCTGAAACCCTACTAGACGGAAATAAAACGGAAACTCACATACCTAAGAGATAATATTTAACGTACCTTCTTCAAAATTATTTCAAATGGTTCGTTGGTTCGGTAAAGCTCGATCTGACCGTGTTCGTCAAACATACTCAAGGTCACCGTGGGAGAATCGAGTGCAACTGGAATACCAGAGGGTGGGTCTTTGATAAAATAATTCAGATTGACCTCAGTAGCCATCGACTGTGGAAAGAATAGGAAAGGAAAATAAAAGTTTTAAAGCTGCTATCACAGGGGTGGCGTTCACAACATCTAGTTTTTTCATCAACACAGGCGAATTGCAGTAGTTTTGCGATAAAAGGCAGATCACCGATTCCAGAGTGTGTAGTATGAACGGAAATGCACACATAAAATGATGTGAATAGAGGCAAACAAGAAGATTTTCACAAAACTGTTGGAAATCTGGAGAAAAAATTGAGGCAGGTTTGGATAGTTTTTAATTTATATATCCACGTCGGGCGCTATAATATCGGATTCCAAAATCCCACAAAATTACAGTCCACAGAATGCACGACAGTGGTGTTAACACAGGATGGATAATTTTGAACAAAATACTTAGGTGTCACCTCGTTTCGTGAACACAAAATAACAAGATCTACCTGAAGTGTAACAGATTGGGAACAATCACGTCCAGATTCGCTCAAAGATTGGCAGAGATTCGGTGCTGTGATCTGCGATCCACCTTTACCAGCAGGCATTGGTGTTTTTTTCTTTGAATTCGAATCAAGTTTCATGAGACCTAGAACAGCTGAATCCATTTCAGTGGTCAGAGCTTCGCCACCAGGAAGCAGCATTGGAGAAAGCAATTCCATTTGTTTCTTCAACATTCTGTTCATTGTGTTTGATGCACTGGCAGCCTATGAGCGAAAAAGCCTCGTGTTTTAAAGCGAAAATGCACACAGTAGAAAAGTAAGCACATCAACCACGTAAGCTAGTTTCTTTCTACGGTAGGCAGTAAGACATGAAATTTTCGTCGCCGTTTTGCATAACCTGGCCTTATCTCGAACTTGCCACTTCAAGGTCACGCATCCATTCTGGGTCATCCAGTGTATCGGTGGCTCAGTAAAAGTCTAAGTTTGATTGTGTAACTCATCATCGTATTTCTGGTATCAAATGGACGTTAATCACGAGAGTGTGCGAATATAGTGGGGCTATTCTCGGAAGAGACTATTTATGAGTGACATATGAATGGCTTTGTAGTGATAGCCCTACAACACTGACCGGTTTGCCACCAAGTTTGCACCCGGTGTGCTCCGAAGATGCTGCTAAAATCCAGGACTAGACACAGCTCATGCACAAACAGCGAGATAACTGGGATGTATTTTTACAATCTACTCTCATTTTCTATGGCCCAGTCTGAAGTGAGGCCAACTTTGAATAACTTTGTGAAGCCTCTTTAGAATTCTTTTAGATCTCGTGCAACTTTTCTGGGTATCTTTTTGCCAACACCAAGAGGTGCTGTCTACATCGTATAACTGCATGCTAAGGCGCTCTTTTCTCCGTGTAGAAATCAGCCGTTACAATTGGTTGAAGAGGCAACCATATGAAATTCGGGGGCCGCTAATGGATAATGCGAATAATTTGCAAAGGTGATATTGTACAACAGGTAGGTTGCGAAAATACTCAAGCCACGTACACCAAAATCACCTTAACTTCAAATAGGTATGGACGGTAGATTCGAAACCTATTGTTCAGCGATGAGATCGATCGTTCAGCTGCAACACCTGTTTGATGCCTAACTGTCATTCTAACCGAAGGAAGCACGAGGGCTGGGACACTGCCAGGTTGCCCAAGCCTAGACAGGGAAGTCGAGAGGCAGGGGTCGGATTCGAACCACGGACCTTCCTGCAGTAAATTCACGCTCTAACCACCAAGCCATCTCGCCAGTATCCATCTGAAGGCCGATTACTGGGTATGCAGTTAACACAAAGAAACTGCAATCGAGTATTTCTTAGTCTAAGTATATCAAGTGTCTCTCGCACGAATTTAGCGACAGATACGATCCTTCAGGTGAACCCAAAGACGCCAGAACTGTCGAAATTGTTCTGACACTGGTAGGGCACTACGAATAAGGATGGTGTTTGAAGCATGGGAACACTAGTCTGTCCGGCATGCCACGAGGATTAGTCCCACAGATTTGCTTAAGACAGTAGTTTATCTTCGCTGATAGCTTTTTAAGAGGAAAGGAGTACATCTCGTTCTTCCTAGATAGTCTTTCCAAAAGGCGACAAGTCTCAAGTGGACGAGTCTTTTAGGATATGACCATATCTTTTGAACTTTTGAACTTTAGTTTGTTCAGTTGTTCACTTCTACGACTGCAACCTTCTGAATCTTCCTATATGTTACACCTCCGAGTGTGGTGGCTATCGCTACAAGGGCAAAACCGCAAACTCCTTAACTCTAGTTAATCGGAACATGACTTATGAGTGGTGCAGAAGATTATTCCTTGTTTTGCATTCACCATACGGTGCTAATAATGTCTCTAGTTAACTCCAGTTTTCACAGCTGATTTTCCAGTACACGCTAGGCATCTTGGTGGCTTTCGGATTATTTGCTTCATTTTGATAATTGGCTTTGCCTTCCCGGGTTCACGCAGGCTGAATGCCGTTTACTGTTCTCATACAAATTGGCTCGAAACTCGTCCGAGAGTGCTTACCTCATGCTTGTTTTTCTCGGCACAGACTAGTGACAGGCGGATCGGTAAACCCTGTACTTGTAGTGGTAGAGTGGCATGTACTTCGAGTAATGTGTAGGTTCACATTAGCGGTTTCTTCGAATATTTTTGTTTCTTGTTTGTTGTTGTTAGTTTATTGTTTACTGTCGGGGTTTACATCCTACCATTCACTAACTTTCTGAACTTTCAGTCTTCCTTCCTTCATTCCTCCCTTTTTTTGTCCCTCTCAAACAACATTTGGGCCAGTTCGACATCCAGGACGCTCTCCTAACGACGGTGTTTGACTAAGGCCCTAAGTGATTAATCCCAGGAGGATCGCCAAAATATTAGGTAAAAAGGCCGAACGTTCCCAAACTTTCATATTTTCCGAAAAATATCAACACCTGGTCTAAATTAAGCAGTCATTAACATTTGTAATCCCGATAGTCACAAGAGTGGTTAGTGGTCAACTAGCATTCGGGTAAGCGATGAGGACTATTAACCAAAGACTGGCAGGTCACTCTCAGATGCCTCAAAGTCAACAGAATACTCGTCCCGTCAGTGGTATCAAATGAAATGTTTTCGCTGTTTCGGAAATGCAACAACTCCCCAGTGACAAGTGCGATTCGCATCATACAGTGTCCACAATTAAAAATCTGTAGTATGCATCGCAGCGAAAATGTCAAACTGAGCACCACTCATCATGAATTTTGAAATGATGCGTATATCCACAATGGGCTCCGTCATATTTCGCCAGTGTCACTTTTACTTCGTGACCATGTAGAGCGCGTAAACTGATGTTCCCTTGAGAGCTTCAGGCAGATAGGTGAGTGGAACAATTGAAAAATCTGTCCTCATGCATCCAGCAACGTCTATAGAGTACCCAAGATGCCCCGCATAGCATAAGCTGATATTCTTTCTCATTGGTAATGTGTTGGAATATTGGTAGCTCGGATGCATTAGTTGATAGTTGATCAGGTGCCTGTTGATCTGTCCGCCGAGCTTGGCAATTGATTTGCAGACGTTTCGTAACCATTCGAGGAGACATCTTCAATGCGCACCGATCAAATACCCACCATTCCTTCTCCTGTAAGGCCACTTTCAAGCGTGACATGAAACAACCTGCCTATGCTTTAAAGACTTTCATGCATGTATTGTTCGCTGCGCGCCATCGAATGCGTACTGTGCGAAAACCAAGACCCACGGCTTATTTGATGTCGTATCTGCTTTCGTTTCCTGTGTACCTCCAATCGGTTTTTCGTGTACAATGGGTTGTTGAGCAACCCAAATCCGTGTTCATGGGTTGAAGTAGGAAATCACAGGACGTGCTCATATAGCAGGCGGAAATAAAAAACAGTACACAAAAAAGTGCATTCAGGCCAATTGAAGACAGTTCGATTATCAGCCTTCTGAGTTAGGCACTATGTGAGGCTGGTTGTTCCACTTTCAACCTATCGCTGTGTGCCTGCTGTGGGTTATTTTACAGGAGAGACCAGAATCCCAACCAGTGCTGTCGACGATATCCCACAGTCCGACCAGCCGCTGTATCGCCTTTTCCCACCCATAACAGGGCTTAACTATGTAGATACTGCCCTACACTAACAACCAGGTTTACACATTTGGTTTCCCCTGACTGGCAGCTGACCACGCTTGCTGGCTGACAGACTGACCAATGTAGTCTCGTATCATAGGTAGTATGCACGAAGTTTGTGTCCATCCAGTGGGGGAACCGGTTGGACTGCGCACACTGATGCTGCAGGCTTTTTGAGTTACCCTAATTTCACACGAAGATGTCTTTGATTCCGATTCATTTTAGAACTCGTGAAAAAAGACCTTCCATTTCTTATGGATATTTCGTTAATGTTATACAGGAGAACCTTTATGGTTTAAAGTCACCTAGAATTGAGAATGACATGGTACAGAGGATTTTTCTTACCCTGATGTGCAGTCCCACATATTTTGTTAATAATATACTGCTCCCTCTCCTCCCTACTTGTTGGGCTGTTTAACTTACGTGTATCCGCAGGTCACCTGTCTGACTGTTGGAGGTCAGCCCAAACAACTCGCTACTCATAAGAACAGCTTCCACAAATTTCGACCCGCACATGCACCTCTTATTTATTCAAGCATTTTTTCGAAGAATACTCTTGAAAAGAATGGAGGCAACCCCGAATTAGAACGAAGGCATTCAGTTTGCTTATTGACCCTGTCTGAGCTCTAGGAGCGATGCGCGTATCCGTGCTAACCAGCCGTATTTATTCGGGACTTATTGGCTCACTGGTCATCGTTCGGACCTCAGTCAGTCTCGGATTTCTGGCTAGTGGTTTGAACACAATAATTCGGCAAGGAACAGGTGATCAACATTGTGATTAATTCACGCATAGACAGGATATAAGGCCACTAATCCTTCAGTAAAGGAATGCACATTACGGGGTCTTCTGTTGACCCTATCAACAGCATCATTAAAGCCACCATCCAAATTCAATCTGGTTTTCGCGCAAACGACCGTCTACCGTAACACCGCTTTACTTCACCCTGAATTTTAGGCTGTTGGTGTCTGACCCTAGACTCGCCTTCTTCGGCAAATTAGCCGTGTTTTAAATTTCCTTATTACTCCACTGGTATTGCGGGCTCTGAAATCTCACTATGTGGTGTTGCACAAAGCTTGACTTGACTCAACATGACTAGCAGTTACTAAGCCAACAAAACCAACATGATGTTCTGGATAGGAAGGTCACTGTACCCCTGATCGAATTACAAATATCGATTCTCGTCGTATCTGACGCATTTCCTGTTGGCGAGTTAACTTCCCTTGCTTTTGGTCCCATCCACCATGCTGTAAGAAGCTTAGAGTCACTCAGTTCTACGAAATATTCTTGCCTATGTTGTGGTAGTTTAGATCAAACCAGACACCGTCGGTCAAGAGTCCAACTTCGTCTGTTCACGCTTGCTCCAGTCGGACGCTGCGTGTAATCTGCTTGGTCTTTAAATACGGACGTTTCGCATACTGATCGGCTGTACTGTAAATACGTTCGTTATGGTTCTACGTACAATTTCGTTTGCTGGAGTCACAGTACCCTTTCGAAAACGAGTTTTGACGACTGCTTGGAACGTCAACCCGAGTCAATGTACTGGTTCGTTGAGATACACAAAAACATGAACTATAATGCACGACAATGTTTGCATCCCGTACAGTTGAAACAGCAGTAGGGTTGTTGCACCTCTGGTTGTAGCTAGCTCTTATGTGAAATTCCTTCAATTCGTAAAATGGGCTGATGCACTTCCAGGTCAGCCCAAACAACTCGCTACTCATAAGAACAGCTTCCACAAATTTCGACCCGCACATGCACCTCTTATTTATTCAAGCATTTTTTCGAAGAATACTCTTGAAAAGAATGGAGGCAACCCCGAATTAGAACGAAGGCATTCAGTTTGCTTATTGACCCTGTCTGAGCTCTAGGAGCGATGCGCGTATCCGTGCTAACCAGCCGTATTTATTCGGGACTTATTGGCTCACTGGTCATCGTTCGGACCTCAGTCAGTCTCGGATTTCTGGCTAGTGGTTTGAACACAATAATTCGGCAAGGAACAGGTGATCAACATTGTGATTAATTCACGCATAGACAGGATATAAGGCCACTAATCCTTCAGTAAAGGAATGCACATTACGGGGTCTTCTGTTGACCCTATCAACAGCATCATTAAAGCCACCATCCAAATTCAATCTGGTTTTCGCGCAAACGACCGTCTACCGTAACACCGCTTTACTTCACCCTGAATTTTAGGCTGTTGGTGTCTGACCCTAGACTCGCCTTCTTCGGCAAATTAGCCGTGTTTTAAATTTCCTTATTACTCCACTGGTATTGCGGGCTCTGAAATCTCACTATGTGGTGTTGCACAAAGCTTGACTTGACTCAACATGACTAGCAGTTACTAAGCCAACAAAACCAACATGATGTTCTGGATAGGAAGGTCACTGTACCCCTGATCGAATTACAAATATCGATTCTCGTCGTATCTGACGCATTTCCTGTTGGCGAGTTAACTTCCCTTGCTTTTGGTCCCATCCACCATGCTGTAAGAAGCTTAGAGTCACTCAGTTCTACGAAATATTCTTGCCTATGTTGTGGTAGTTTAGATCAAACCAGACACCGTCGGTCAAGAGTCCAACTTCGTCTGTTCACGCTTGCTCCAGTCGGACGCTGCGTGTAATCTGCTTGGTCTTTAAATACGGACGTTTCGCATACTGATCGGCTGTACTGTAAATACGTTCGTTATGGTTCTACGTACAATTTCGTTTGCTGGAGTCACAGTACCCTTTCGAAAACGAGTTTTGACGACTGCTTGGAACGTCAACCCGAGTCAATGTACTGGTTCGTTGAGATACACAAAAACATGAACTATAATGCACGACAATGTTTGCATCCCGTACAGTTGAAACAGCAGTAGGGTTGTTGCACCTCTGGTTGTAGCTAGCTCTTATGTGAAATTCCTTCAATTCGTAAAATGGGCTGATGCACTTCCCCTCTATAAACACCACCTCTCAGAAGATGGTACAGTATGATAGTCTCTTGAAGTTCTGTCTACAGAGATTAACAACATTTCACAAGGTACTAGTTCCATTAATCGATTTCTTCAGAAAAACAAAGTTGAACGGCAGCAACGGATCATAGGTAACTAACCGTCTTTGACTGAACTCGGACATTATTGTTAACTGAAAGTTCATCCAATGCTTCTTCCCCCATGCCGGACAGACCTGTAAAACAAAACATGAACTGTATGGTAAGTCACATTTATGAACCTGAGTGTTTTGACCATAGTTCAGTAAGTAGAATGAGTATGAAAGCTCGCAACTTATCCTCATATTAACAAGTAAGAAGCAACTGAGGATAAATAGGACGTCACTTCTAGTTGATCCTATCTACTCTTCCAATCGTGAGATTACAGTTCTTACTCATGCACACCGTTTATACTTGTTCTGGTATGAGAATGTAGATTTGTTCAATATTGTTTGCCATTTCATTTCTCCCATTAGTATAGTATACAAAATGAAAACACTTGCAGTAGGAGAAACCAGTCTTCCAGTACACGAGTGAACAGGACGGCTTTTTGGATCATGAGGTATACTCACCAGGACTGTCCAGATCGGTATCGTAGTCCATTAACTTTGGGTTACGTTCCACATCCAATGGCACTGCATCTTCTATTTGTGACACGGTCGTCTGTGAACAGTGAATAAATTTGGCATTGATTTTTTTACATCTGGGTAACGCCCCTCAGAACCTCCAGTTGAAGACTAAATTAGTCAGATCAATCATGTTCGACTTACATCAAGCAAGTTAATGGCATTTTTCAGAACACCGGCTACAACTTCCTGGCGCATTGTAGTACCTTGATCAGCAACCAGATCGTCAAGAGCGTTGACAAATTTGTCGATGGTAGTGATCAGAGTTTCCTGTGAATCCCGACTTACATCTTCTTTGTTCGTCAGAACTGTACTGACGGTGGACGCCACCAAAGCCAAAGAATCTGCGCTTACTGGAGCCATTGTTGCCAACACAGTGACTAGCTGACCAGCAATCTGAATATAAGTTGAACGGAAGAACTAGTAAAACTAAAAAGGACGTCCATTCGGTGTATTTAAGCCAAATCTGCAGTGGTCCTTCCAAAATTAAACAATTTTTCAAGGAGTTAAGCCATATAGGTAGGAGATGGGCAAAGGTGTGATAGCACAAACAAAGGACAACCATTCAGATGCTCTCACATATGTGCAACCTTGCTCCTAATGCGATATTCCTCAGCAAAAGCTATCCCCGGAATGTTCTCCACTACAGAAAGGCCTGAATAAGCTCATCCACACAACCTCCGAAATTGGTTAACTTTTATAAGCCTTTGACGGATGGCCAAAGCAACGAAAGATTAACTTCAGGCTTTACACTGACAAGTTGCTTTCAGGCGCTCGCCTTGTTATATTACAAGTATTCCCGAAAGAGTTTATAACTCATATTGAGTGAGAGCAGACAAAATTCAACGCCGAATTCTACTACAGACTTTCATAGAATCAGCTTCAGTCTATCATCATACGTTGTTCTTTCTAGCTTCTAGTTGATATTTACGCGTAGGCCACGTCAAAACAAAAATGTTAAAATCAACCACAGCACTATCGCTAACAAACTTGCGTACAGCCAAAATCATTCAGAAGTCAGTCACTTCAGATGGAGCTCATAGACATTTTTCATAACTGCGACCTCACAGACATAACATACCACTCACAAGGTTGCTGAAAAGTCTTGGACAGCCCACGAGAGCTTTTGCCTTTTTTGGGCCTCATCAGGTACGCGCAGTTCTCGAGTATTGGGTAGTCGCATTGTTATGCTGTTTCGAGTGATCACCGTTTTAATTTGTAACTGTTCTCTTAATATACAGAATGAAAAGTCCAGGGACGTGTGGGATAAGTGCAAGCCACTGAGTAATCTGTTACCGGACGAGCGCTGTCCAAAGTCTGATTTACTGAGGGCGCTTAATTTATTTCACAAGTGCTCATATGAATTTTGCACATGGTTCCCTAGGCATCTGCCCAAAGGGTTAGCAGTGGATGCTTGCTAATACTGCCATTGAGTCCCGAATTCGCTTTTGTTTGATTTATATATCGCTTTACGCACTTCGAGAGTATTAGCCCACTAAGATGAACCCATGAACAGCTGTTTGCTTCTTCTAAGCTGAAAAAATTGTATGATCTTAATTGTGTGCACCGAAAAACATTTTCACTAGTCCATGAATTACTATTCGATCGCTGTATGGAGGTTATCGCAGTCAGTGTGAATCACCATGACTAAGTATCACACAGCACATCAAGTTGATTAAACAGGAGGAGTACAGTCACTTATTTTCTCTAAGGACAATAGTAAATTAAAATCTTTCCGGAGTTAAAGGTTTTTATGACTGCGTGCATCTTGGCTTATTCAACAAGTCCCATTCAGATTGCCGAACTATTGGCCGTCATGTCGATGCATTATAGTTTGACACCACACAAAACATTCCAGTACACCGGGGTGTATGTACACCGGTGGTGGACGTCGGCGACGCCCACACGGACATGAGGGCACCCTCCTTTGTACACCGGTGGTGGACGTCGGCGAAGCCCACACGGACATGAGGGCACCCTCATTTGATTGCTACAACGTTGTTTGTGCAATTAGAAACAATGGACGTGGAAAACAATGGGCGCAAGTACAAATCGGTCAGTATTTCATGCGAAACGCACACTCATTGGGTCGAGACAAACACAAATCGCGTAACAGGGTATAGTACAAACTACCCTATATCGAAGTTTCTGGTTTGTTCATGGGCTAAGAAAATTGATCCAAGAAACACTTTCTCTTAAGTCGTCACCTTTACGTGCAATGTGGTCGTACGCCAAGGGAAAGGTTAACCTTTTATAAAGGAAAGTTAGCTCAGCATCTCAAGAAGACCAGTTTTATTTGCAAATGACCCATTGTTCTAACCGTATAGATTCTCCGGAGTGTCATCGCCCGTAAACCGATCGAATAGTGTTCTACCTGCTGATTCGCCAATCTGTTGGGTCTGACTGCTGACTCCGCTCCAGGGCCTAGTGCCAGAGAAAAGAGTCAGAAGGGAACACAACAGTCATATTCCGAACAAGTGAGTGCGTACGAGTGCGAAAATACAACTGCCTCATTGGAGGGACATTGACTGAAATTGGTCCAACGCTGATGCACGCGGTCTGGCTGTGACGCGCTGCGTATTGCGGGGGCGTTTTCTGACCTTGATGAATGCTGACTCGCTCTGTCTGGGCTTGATACAAGGCTGTGACTCACTGCATATTGAGGGGGCGTTGTCTGTCTGGCCAGCATCTCGTGGTGCTGAGGTTCTCAGTAGATTTCGGGTGTTCGGTGGCTGTTTTCAGGGGTCTGACCGTCCTGATAAATGTACCCTAATGATGAAGATGAAGTTGATGATGACCTGTCAGGAAGGTCAGATCTTCCCAGTATACTTGAAACGTACAGAGGCCCTCAAAGTCCACTAAATGCCGATCAGACAGCCTTGGATCAAGGTCAAACACTGCCCTTCAATGTATAGCACGAGTCCACTGTACTTTCGCACTCGCTCGTTTGTAATAAAGCTGTTGGTTTCCTTGTTGGTGAGTCTTTTACGGGCAATAAAGGCACCGGAGAGGAGACATCAGTCAAATATAACAGTACCCCAGTACGCAACTTGATCACTGTATGTCATGACCGGCTTCCGAATCGGATTTGACGGTCAAAAGTGATCAAACCGTTGGACACCTGCGTATACTAAGGAAGCAACGGACAGCTTGTGCTGAGCCGATGCAGACTCGAGGGAATAAGATCTGTGGGTGAACGTGCTAAGGCCTGTTGCGAGCCGTTAGCCGGTTTGAAAATGATGGCATCGAGGTGTTGGCGTCATCTGTCAGTTCCAGCAAGATATAACATCTCCCCCTGTATGGCATGACGCAAGTTATACGGAGGAACACCCACTTACTGCAGTATCAAGTTGTTAATTGACAGAGAGATTGTACTTCATTCGTACGGTTATTGATCTTCTCATGAATGTGGTACTGTTCGACCTGTTAACTGATTCAGGGTTTGGAAACCCTAACTGCTGTTTGATTGACAGAGGTATGCACTTTGCATGCGCATCAATAAAACGCCCTTCGCTCAGTGTCAGGAACGTGGCTCGTAGCCCGACCGTATGACAAGCATCTGAGGGATGGAGCTGATTTAAATATGGAGGCTATTTGTTTCGCGAATCACCCGTAATTCGTGGTTCGCTTTATACCGCTCGTCTCAATGTTTTCAACAAACTCATGCGAACTCTGGTTGACATAAAGAACACTGTTTACGTATTGCATCGCAAATCACGCACAAACTAGTGCATTGTTCACTTACTTCAGCGCGGCTATTGCGTTTCTCAGCAGAGAGGGCAGCTGGATCCTGTAATGAAGGAAAAAGGGTTTGTGGAACGAAATCTTTTGTTTAATCTCAGTTCGTTTTTTCATTACATTGTAGCTGGGGATACAGTTGACTGGACAGTATAAAAATACTGCCTTACGGAGGTCAGCTTATAAATATAACCTTTTGAGTATTCCTGAAATATCGAGTGTTCAGACGACCTGGGTTCGAGTCTCAAAATTAAAACACTCTCGTAAGTTGCATTTAATTGTATTGCAGTTGAAAACCTTAGGAAGACCTGTGAAGTCGCAGGTTTATTTTCATTCATCCAAAATTTCGTTTTCCTGATGGATGTTTCAATCAACGTCATCCTGCCTTAGGTTTCGCTAACTGAGTATTCGGTCCACTGTGCCCATGAATCCTGAGGTTCAAGAGGAGTTAGATACTCAGTCTAGTAGATACTGCCGGCACATTCCGGGGCATATCCATAGGAAGGGAAGCAAATCGACCTGAATCTATGTCTGACAGATAACTTCATTGAGTTTACTCAATTAGAGCCTCGTTCAGTCTTAACAAGTTGAAGACGTGAACGTTTAAGCAATGGTTACTATAAAACAGGTCCTTCCATGGTACGCTTCGACCAACCAGTTCAACTCACACAAGAAAACAGTTCAGAAAAGTGCAGCTGGCAATTTGTTTACGTGCCCTATGAAATCGGGATAGTGATTTACGGCAGAATTCGTCATCCAGATGTGAAAAATATCTGTTGTATATTAAGAGAATAAATGACGAATAACAGACTCATTGATTCCACTTCTTATCTAGTAAGGGAGAGATGAAATGGCCATCTGCAGGTCATTCTTCCAACTCCTAACGGACACCAGTGAAACATATGAAGCTCACTTCATGCCCAAGCGCATATTACCTTATGAAGCTCTCTTCAGACACGATTTTCTCACCACCACCGTCCGGCAAAATAATGTGTACCTTATTACTGTTACTGTAAATAATTACCAGAAAGTCAATTCCACATTTGCCTCATCTGCTGAGAACGACAATGCTCGGTCTAAACTGCGCTTTAGAACAATACCGATACTGCATCAGGGGTCAAGAAATAGGCCGATAAAATATTTCTCGGTGCTGACTGTAATCTCTTCGGAAACAGTCTCAAATGAACTAGTCGACTCTCACACTTTTTGACAGGATTCCTCTCTGGTAAAAGCAGACCTAACTTTTCTGTTCCCAAGTGGGTGTAAAACCAAAATATCTTATCCCAGAAATATGTATGCAATAATGCTGCTCGAACACTGGTGGACTGAGACTCATGAATTGTTAGAAGGCATTATAGAGCATTTCACCATAGAGTGTTTGATGAACCAATTAAACATTCTAAACTAATTCTTAGTGCAGAGTGGTTTCTGAACTCACTCTTCCTAATTTCCACTAAGATGGTGAGAAATTTCCCCAAATTACAACACAGTATTAGTTGAAATTATGACTCTCGTTCACTATTCCAGTTCCCGTGGTGCGGTGGTAAATTAGCACCCATCGTACACCTTGGTGTTATCTTTCCGGCCAAGCGGTCCGTTCAGCCATACCTTCATTCATTTTAGTGTGTAATAAGTGGACCGAACAAATGTAACCTTGACCATATCACTGTTGTCAAGGCCAGCTCCAGTGTCGGGTTTAAACCTCAGCCCCCAGTCAGTTGCCATGATGACAAGCAAATGTTGCCGTGGCGATGTACCACCATGTAGTCCGTCCCAGAGACAAAAACAATGGTGTAGATCGAGATACGACTATTCGCATCCACATCATTCTCGCTCGAACAGACTTCCTCTTGTCTTGGACCGGTTGCTCTTTGCCACATTAATGCGGGGAAGGGAGGGGGCTCACCAGAATAATTTAGCCAGAACCGGAAGAGGACCTTTGGAACGAGAATAATATGTACGTGAATGTTGCAAATCCCGCAAATATCTTTCCCAGATAGGCCCCTCAACTAATGCGAAAAAGTGCATGTGCGAAAAGTTAAGCCCCGCCAATTTTGCCAGTTCCGATTCAATGTACGCACACAACCTTGACCTATTTTTGGTGAAAACAATTCCTTATCCGCATCTAGGCTCATTTTGTGCAAAAATTTTCTCCGTTCGGACGTAAAACCTTAAATCAACTCTCGTTCATGACAAGGAGACGACAATACGTTCTTTGCAAAGCCACGGACTGATCCATCTGCAACGTTTATGCAACATGACCACCAAATGACACTTTCAACTCAATTGGGAAATGTTTGGGACCGATTGGGAAGTCATCGTTTCAGAGGGGTTTGGTAAACAATCCACCGACTGTTTACCAAACCCCTCTGAAACGAAAGACACTTTCAACTGTTTTTGACAGGTGGAGGTTTAATGTCCGACAGTGTCGGCAAGAAATCGGTCTTCGAAGGGGAACTTGACTGGAGCGGTCTAGGATGTAATTTAGGACAGTAATTCTATTCTGTTCATTTATTGCCGGTTCAAAAATTTGGCAAAAATCAAATTCTGTTCAGAGGAATTATCTATTAACCACACGACCACTGTTGACTGGGAGAACTTTCTTCGCGAAGTTTGCACCTGGCGGCTTTTGGAGACTTCAACAGTTATCATCGACCCAGGTCTACACGTCGAGATCGATGAAACGCTAATATCTTTCCGTAAAAACCACGCAAGGCGAGTCCTTCCCCAGCAGTGGATTTTTGGAAGGATCTGCCGGGAAACTAAAGGGGTGTTCATTTATGCAGTGCCGGATCGAACTGCGGCCACTTTGATGGACACACTCCAGGTCTACATCTCTCCCGGCTCAATCATCATCTCCGATATGTGGACATCATACCGAGGAATTAAAACGATGATTGACATGAATTATACTCATGAAACGGCTAATTACACCGAAACCTTTGTGGATCCAACGACTGGAGTTCACACACAAACCATCGAATCTCTTTGGCACGTCTACAAGATGCGCAATAAACGCCAATGTGGCACACACCGATCTTTAATGGACAGCTACCTGTGTAAGTTCGTTTGGAGACAAAGATACCGAAAAACGGACCTTTTCATGTAAATTACCAATGACATGTCCCAATTTCACCCTCTTTGATAAAAAGTAAAAATATAAATTTCATATGCTCCTCTTTTTCTTCTTTTTTAGGTAGTGGGGGTTAATTTTTTGGCGAGGCTTATCTGGCTCATCAAATAATGCAAGATAATGTCATGGGATGTTGTGGCTGCCCGAGGAGCGGAGGAAGGAATGTCGGCACCCTAAATACACGAGATGATTAGATGTGAAAAACCGAAGAGTGAGTCTATGAGTTAAATAGATGTTAGATAGAATGCTGTCTCCTTGATGTTCAGTGCGCATTTCATACTCACTACCTAAGGCTGTATGCTCACTGGCTTCCTACTATCCTGTTCTTCTGAAATGCGCAATGCTTTCACCTTTCTATTTATTGGCTTCCCGGATACTACTTGCCCATTCTATCGGTTTTTTTCTTCACGGCTTTACCAAAATCTGATCACTAATATTGTGACTGTTCTGTGCGATCAAGTGTTCTGGCCAAGTTCGAAATACACCGGTGTACATCATCTTATCACATTCATGGGATGAAGTAAGTACGTTTCCAACTATCACTGAGCGCACAGGCGAGTTGAAAGCATCATCGTTTCTCACGCAAGTTTCAAGTCTACATTTTGAGAGGCAAAACCGCAGCAATGTATGATGGTAGTCCTTTGTTGATGCCATAGGTGCACAGCAATAAGGGCTGAAAAGATCAACAGGGATGCTTTTTTCTTATATTCTGTCATTTGTGAATAAACACTGACGGGTTGAAAACAGGTATTCTCCGAAATTGCTAGGCAGGATAGAGGTCAGAAATCGGTCCAACTCTTGTTCGAACGCTCACTGAACTTCACGTGCCTGTACGTGCTTGAGAGTCGATGTCCACACTGGTGATTTAAACACAGAGCCAATCAAGACTAACCTCATGTGAAACGACAGTTTGACATACCAGTGGAGCACCAGGTATGAAGGACAAATAGGGTTGGTCTACCTTACTGATACGCATTCCAGCAAACAGACTTAATCCTAAGGCAACCCTTAGTATTCCGACTCACCTGTTAGATAATCTACGCGCTACATGAAGGGCGAAGAACCTTATCAAAGGACATGAGTTAGGCTCACAGTCAATCCACTAAGTTGAAACAAAGAGCACACAGCCGTGTTTCATCTGATGGTTACTTAACATGTAAGTAACTGTTCACATTTAATACCTCCACCCGAAATACTTGTCAGTTTAATTATCAATGAGAGCTTCACTTGGTCAGAAGTGAAATATGCGGAGTAGTTCTCCAGAAGAAGGCGCTACGAGAAAAGGGTCGTTTTGGCTACACCTGAGGACGGTCTCACTTCAATGGTTATTTTGCACCAAGTGGCGCGGATGACGAGGTATACTGCAGTGGGCTGCCCGGGAAGGTGACCAATTTTCGGAAATCTTGCCCTGTGGGAGGGGGTTGCTGTAGATGAAAATTTAGACTCTGTTTGCTTACCTCGACTGTTGCCAAATCTGAAGAAGATGAAAAGTCATTAATGTAACAGACGTAAGGAAAGTTCCGTTACTGTCAGTATACATGGTAGCTTGAAATGCTAACCAGCAGTAATGTCCTGATTACATCAAATTTGTTGGTGTCAATCTGCATTAATCTACACTTATTAACACACCGAATATATGTCAACAGTCTTACGTGAATTTTATTTTTCACTCAGGAACAAAGAGAGCGTCTCAACTGTCAAATGCAGTTATAACCATGACTAAAATCACTATTAGCGTATGTAAATGGGCGGGCTATCAGGCAGGCAGGCAGGCAGGCAGGCAGGCAGGCAGGCAGGCAGGCAGGCAGGCAGGCAGGCAGGCAGGCAGGCAGGCAGGCAGGCAGGCAGGCAGGCAGGCAGGCAGGCAGGCAGGCAGGCAGGCAGGCAGGCAGGCAGGCAGGCAGGCAGGCAGGCAGGCAGGCAGGCAGGCAGGCAGGCAGGCAGGCAGGCAGGCAGGCAGGCAGGCAGGCAGGCAGGCAGGCAGGCAGGCAGGCAGGCAGGCAGGCAGGCAGGCAGGCAGGCAGGCAGGCAGGCAGGCAGGCAGGCAGGCAGGCAGGCAGGCAGGCAGGCAGGCAGGCAGGCAGGCAGGCAGGCAGGCAGGCAGGCAGGCAGGCAGGCAGGCAGGCAGGCAGGCAGGCAGGCAGGCAGGCAGGCAGGCAGGCAGGCAGGCAGGCAGGCAGGCAGGCAGGCAGGCAGGCAGGCAGGCAGGCAGGCAGGCAGGCAGGCAGGCAGGCAGGCAGGCAGGCAGGCAGATAGACAGACAGACACCCCAGTTTTCAACCAGAATGCTGTTCATGACTTATCGAAATATAGACTTATCGAAACAGTCATCATGACACTTCTTTGAATAAGACGAATTGAACAAACTGATGGAAACATGAGGCGACACCATCACCGCCCTCAAAAACTACCCTGTGGCACTCTACGTCGTATAGATATATATATCAGCTGCAACAGTTCGGAAAACTTACGCTCTTTATCTAGGTTTCGTTGCACTTCAAGCACCTCAGCATATCTACCGACTGTATTCGCTTTCGCCGTCGTATTCCCCGAAAGTCCAAGCTGATTAAGCTCCGTGTTTGATGTATTCATCAACCTCTTTATCTTCCGTTCCACTTCTTCTTTGCTTGGAGGACTGACCTGCAACAAGATGTTTTAACTAAAGAGTTACTTTCTCGCCCCTTGATAAAAACATTCTCGGCATACAGTATCCCGATAAAGGCCAAAAGATAGAGGTCAAGTTTGCGAATAAGAATATCTAGCGGTATCTGAGCGAGATAGTCAAATGCATTTAGCTGGAAAGACGATTTGTTCAAGTGAGTTTTTGTGAATGAATAGTTTACGTCAGATGTGTGTTTATCCAAATGAGGGGGCGAATTAATTGGCATCTATGGAACGGCTTAGATTATAGGATTCACAGGACAGCTGCGAGATCAGTAGCACTGCTTTTCAGGGTAGGACTACTCAGGAAAACCTCGAAGTGCAGCACACCTCGATGAGCTGTCTGTCGATTTACTGCTCATATATCACCAAAGTTACAACAAAAACAAATTAGCCGCATTCAGAACCTAAGAAGGCAGCAATTATGAATGTCACTCTTGAACGTTAGATGTTAATAGCCAGGTCTCAGCTTGTTAGTCAAGGGAGCTAGTCCAAGATCGTACGACTAAAAACTTGGCAAAAATCCCAGAATCGTATGCATACTCGCAAAAGAAGGCAGTTTTCTTATCATCACTGGCAGGAACTACGAAGAAACGAACTGGTCTTTTCGTCTGCGTCACAGCAAGCCTGTGCACACCCGTATTCAATAATGACCGCTACGCTTAGCTTACGACAATATGAGAATATGCAAGATAATCATGCAACACCCTTCTACCACAACGTCAGCCTGTCTCAGGCTCACCTATGATAGAACACTATTTACCAGCGCTAGCCAAGGAGTTTATATAGTTCGATTTGACCAAACCCATTTTCACCGGATGCCTCACTGGTGAAATTACACTGTGAGCCACAATGCACTCCATCCTGGTAAGCCAACATTCCAGCTCAGTCAATATCTTCGGTTCACGAGAGCTCCGAATAGCTTACTTGAAGTACAATAACCTCTAATACTATTTGCGTTAAGGCAGGGGTGAAAATGCCCATTTCCCAGCTGCCGGTTACGATTATGTGAATGACATGATCACACACCGCCCTTATTTGCTTTGGACTGTTTGGTTGTGTGCTTGCATCTACATCTTCCTACTATATAGCTGATGCAGTCCTCCATTAGACAAGTAGCCACATTAAATACGGGCTTAAATGATTTCATTTGCAATATGAACAAATAGCCTGTCCAGAACCGTTGAAGTTTTCAGGGGACACCATCTACATTAATCTGTCCTACTTATTGTGGCCACCCGAAAATGTCAGTGAAACATCGTCTTCCACCAACAAGGCCCTCAGTGTTCAGCCTGTACTAAAACTTGTTGTGTGAATAACACTATGACGGCATGTACAATGAGGGCGAACTGACCGTTTTCGGATTTAACTGTCTCATTTTTTTCACCACCTTTGATCAGGTTCAACAAATGAAGTGAATGAAGTAAATTTACTTAATTGCGAATATCGCTTTGGCTTAAAATAGCTAGGATTCTGCCTCAGCACACGCCTGGTTTGTTGATGCCTTCGTTGCAGATACTGTTTTCCGGTACGTATATTTGTACATATCTATTTATTTCTGGATGAGAGACACAGACTGGTACTACGGAAGCCAGAAACGTTTAATTAAGGCAGTTTTCCCTATTAAAGATGTTACTAATGGTTGTGGGGCTTGCAGACACCACACTCCCATCACTTGCGTTTGGATAGTGCTCCTCCTGTCCTGGTAAGATTACACTGGTTGGTCGAATCTGCTCGTTTACCTCTTCGTTGTAGACTAACTTTAAAAATTGAAGTACAACTGGAAGGCAACCATTCGGACAAGACTGATATGAACACCAGTATTACAGATATACGGTTGGAAATCTTTCTCATTTCTTACTTACTTCATGAAAGTTTGCTACCTTGCTTATTAGCCACTAAGTGACATTTTCCATCATTCTCTTATGTGTCATAATGAAACACTTACTTTGACTTTGGCAAAACATGATTCGATTTCGTTCCCGTAAGCATCTGAGGCACGTACACAGAATGGTACTTCCGTGGTGGTCACCGGCAGAGTGATGCAAATATTTGGCTCACTACTCACGCCAACGGTAGCTCTTGGAGTGATGTTTACTGTAGGCGAAAAACACAATGAGAAATAAAGTATGACCTGAAGGACTGACAGTCATCAAGTCGAACTCGTGTGACAAGCTTACCTACTCAGCAAATATCATGGACAAGTTTCCTACCTACCTTACTGCAAACCATAACGGGTAAGATTATCAGAGGATTGGCACTTCTCAAGGGGCGTTTCATCGGGATAAAACACCAATGACTGATTTTTGTCAGTACCACGGAATCAGCTTAAATTGCGTCCGCCCTGTAGCCACGGAGAAGCCCCAATTGACGGTTTTTGTTGGTAGTCCTTGATACCATAAAATCACATACACCAGGGTCTTTCCAAATGAATATATATATATATATATATACGTTTCCAGGAAACATCGTTTGGACAGCCCGTTTTGCTCGAATTGAAGGATGAGGAATACCATAATGACACTTTGCTGCTTGAATGCATTAGAGACCCTCAACCACACTGGATAGGTGTGTGGCTTCGGGGTGAATTCGAGTTGCGTGTGCGGAGTGCTCGATTATGGGCATCACGTGGTCGGACGAAACCAAAAATAGTTTCGTAGTGCACTACTCATAAGGTTGCTGAAAACTCTTTGAAACTCACTACACTCACTTGAGAACAAATTTGGTTTTGCCAGAGACCCACCTGGAACCAAGCTGAATTTCTCGTTTGTGATGTTTCCAGGCTGTCGAAGATTTCAGCAACCTTAAGAGTAGTGCATTACGTATATGCATGTGTCGTGATATCTCGAGTATCGTACCGACTGAAACATGAGGCGGCCTAGTGCAGCACATTCAGTTTCCCGTAAAAATCACAAACGGGAGACTCAGCTGGGTTCCAGGTGAGTTCCTCGCAAAACCAAATCTGTTTGCAAGTAATCGTTATCAGCTATAGGCAAGAAAGGCTATTCCTACAAAATTGAAACGCTGAAAACAGCAACAGAAATATTACGAGTAAAAATCACGGGAGACTCAGCTGGGTTCCAGGTGAGTTCCTCGCAAAACCAAATCTGTTTGCAAGTAATCGTTATCAGCTATAGGCAAGAAAGGCTATTCCTACAAAATTGAAACGCTGAAAACAGCAACAGAAATATTACGATGTAATTTTTCCAACTGAAGAGGTTAATAGATATTTTCAAATAATCGTTCGAGTGCGATCCTAAAAATGCTATGAGTTCAGTGCGAAAACCGTTCCACAAAACAACTTAAAGTTATTTAAGAGCAACCAGTTACTAGATAGCGTTTGCCTACCGTTTGAGCGTCAGTAACATGCCCCAGTTGAGAACATACCATCGTCATAGAAGTGTTGACAGCCTGGAAAATATCTTGGGCGCCTCCCTTGTCGGTTGTAGGTTCTTATGTGGTGATAGAAGGCTCGACGGCCATTAGAATTCACAAACCGAATTTTGTTTTCAGAAACTGCTAGTCGTTTTATCTGGCCTGACTCTGAGTTTATGGACCTGAAATTTCAAATGAGGCTAATGCCTCTCCTTGTCACATACTTCAGAAAAAGTCGACCCAAAGTTGATCCATTGCTTGCACAACAGACTATTCACACCATTAATTTTCGCTAAATCTTGGTGTTCCCTCAGCACTTGCAGCATTTCATAAAAAATTTCGCATACATAAGTGTATTCTGTTGACACAAAACGGAAAACTTCGGCAACACAAAGTATAATCAGTAGGACATTGCAGGTTGATGTGCTTCAGTTCAGCTTAGGCGTAGCTGAATGCTGTGGAACGAATAATTCATGTGGACGAAACAGACGTAGATCGGCCAACATAATCAATCAGAAATTCGTGTCCCTCGAAGAAGCAATGATCCGTAAAATGAAATTTTGATCTGTCATGACGCGACTGAATGTCCGTCTACCTAATCATAGTGTGAAGCAATAACTGTAGACTCACGGAAATATGAATATTCCAGAGCTCCGTAGGCACTCCTGAATCCTGTGCAATTTGTGCAAGCTGTATTGCTGGTTTGGACAAGACTGCATCTTCCTCGAGTAAGCGGTACGAGGAAAACAAAGTAGACACAAGCGGTTCCTGTGCTTCCAGCATGCTCGATCGATCCACACGCCTTGAACCCAACTGCCAGTATGTCGCCTGAGAGGAACTCCTTCCTAATTCGCACCGTGCTAGTAGATGCTCCTGAGATATGGGAACCAGAGAAAATTAAGTGAGGATTCCAATAAAGAGGGAATGGAGTGGTTGCATAGCGGTGCCAGTATATACTCCCGTGAAATCATGTTTGTAATGAGTGAGGCTTCAACAGGCCTTACAATGGCCCATTGGATTTCTTCCTCTATCCGAAACTAGTGATAACGCAAGACCGGGACGGGGAAACGGAAACCGACAGCCTGGTTTCAACATTCCAAAATTTAATCACAGCGCTTCTCACTCATGAGCGACGACTATGCGTTTGGCAGCTGTGTTTGTTCCTTAGACATAACGAATTGTGTCGATCCCTTATTTATTTGATCAGCTATCTTGGTGATCAGCGATTAACAGACCTGGATGGCGGTCTTGTTGCTACCATCTTATCGATTAGCCTCATAGTTCATCCAGATGTATGTAGTCCCCGAATTTGTACAATTTCCATTCAGTCTGAACACTTTTCCTTCTGTCCTGGCACAGTTATTCTAGTGAGTTCATATCACAACCGAAATGCGTTGGATCAGAGTTCAGCTCTTATTACAGTTCATCAAAAGCGCACAGCCTGCGTCATAAAGGAATTTGAACTCCAGACACTGGATGTTCGGGGCGAACGTGTTGTCCCAACTACACCAGCGCACCCTGAACGCATCTCAAGTTTCAAGTTTGAACAGGTGAACTTGCTCACGTTTGAGCGGTGCGTCGGTTTCAGCTAACACCTCATTTGATAGGAATGAAACTGGAATCAGGTGCTTCCTGCCTTTGGTGTGATCTTACCAGAGTAACCGCACAAGGTTAGGAGAAGGACTGTTTAGTAAACTGCTCTGCTTACACGGAAAACCGAGGATAAATAGGGACCTATTGAAAAGGATAGCCTCATAATTCCTCAAGTTCCAGGTCGTTCCATTACCATTTATCATTTAATTATAATTGACTATTAGTAACTTCAAGAAAGACAGTGTACTCGTGAAAGCAACGCAAAATTGCTCTTCCACAAACATGGTGCTTACCCGATGTAAACTTTTTCAGCTCATCAACAGTCAGGAATTCTCCCTCACTGTCTGCGTAGACATACTTGAGATTCCAACCGTATTTTTGTTCCGGGTTTCGCGAATTGTCTTGTGTAGAAGATTGGAGGTAAAGATCCTCTGTTTGTGCCACCGCCCAACTATTTCTCGTGGTGTATTGAGGCGGCATATCTCTACACAATATTGCTACTGCACATCTACAAAAAGTAGTCGAAACAGTTAAATTTGGAACGAACATGGGGGAAAGGGGATCCGATGCTTCTAAATAACCATTCAGTCAAATGAAGACTCGCCTGTTGGTAATTATCAATTGCTGTGCGAAGATTGATGACAACGATTCATTTGGATAACCCTGAGAACTTACCAGACGAATGTTCGAGCATGCATATGTAAGGACTGAGGCGGATTACGTTAAGTTGTGCTCTAACCCAAACAAGGGCTTTCCTCCTAGCGAGTCAGTGAACAAAGGTTTGGTGGTCAAAGTGGCAGACGCTTTGAAAGAGGTCTTAAAGTTCCAAATGTAACGGTTTCTCAGAAAAAATGAGTATAGTTGAACATGGCGAAATGAATCGAACCGAAAATCATGATAATTTTGTTGTAGGTGTGTGCTGAATTTGTAGAATTCACAGGAGGTTTCAAGAGTCTGTGGAAATTCCTGAGAGGCGGGTCACTCTATCGGTGCAACCAGGACGGTTGGAAGGTTATCATTCGCGCAGTCGGGCAAACGAATACACTACTCAACCATGACGATTTCCCCATTCATTTACTTCCTCCGTGTACATTTGATCCGACTGCTGGATCCACAGCTTTGCATCCAAAAGAAACTTGTGCGACCTCTGAACTTGAACTGGCCCACGAAACATCTGGTCCCACAAGTATGTCTGACATTGACGTCACTTACTTGACTCCATGACCCATTGACCTACCCTTCACCCAACCCCCCTTCCTTTGACTTCTATTTCTCTAAAGTGTATGTAACCCCGATCTTAACCTTTTCCACGTGATTTCTGCTACCATATAAATTTGTGATGTATTAGCCAAGATGAACAATCGCAGAAAACAAGCTTTGTTCGCCACCTTCTTCGTTCTCATGTGTAGTTTTGATCTCCACTTGTTTTTATTTTTCCGTACCCGCCATTCACCTTGCTTAAAAGGCCGCCGATTCCGAAACTATTATACAAATATGTCTGTGTCACTGACCTACTTATCCATTTGTTCCCACATGCCGGGCCTACTCTGACCTGTCCTGTCGTGATTTCCGTGTGATCGCACAGATAATCAGCGTCACAAGACCGTCATCAGACTGGACAACCACAACCCGCACCACCGAGCCTGTATTTCGCCCACCGTTTTCTGCTTTGTGGAGATTGACACAGCACTGTGTCGGTCAGTGACAGACGTGCGCACGTGCTGACGCCACGAACGCGGACAATTTTTTTGCTGGGTACTTTCGCTCACCTTCGTGTGAACAGTGACTCAGGCTTTCGAACCCAGTTCTTCCTTCTGATATTCGAGACCATCAAACCTACGCGCGTGATTCAAAGCTCCGTTCTCTATTTAGCCCTGGTGAGCTAGATCCACACTCCTGGTACGAATCGACGAACACGGTGACCGAACTCATGGTAAAAGAATAGTGCCCTGACCCGACTAAACCATTCATATATCTGGTAGATCAATTGCCATGGCCTGAGCGAATCAATCAATATATCACGAGAACTGAACTGCAGAAAGTTCGGTTGAAGCAAAAGGAATCTGTACGATGCTCTTCGACGATTATGAGCAACTAGGGAGTGTTTCATTTGCCGGAGAATAATGGTCTATCGGCGCCATGAAGAGATTTCGGAATTTTCAATGAGAATTTCTATCTGTAGTGAGGTCAGTCAGTGTTAAAAAGCGAAAAACGCAGTGCATCGGTCTCGTCCTGATTGGGAATCATCTGAACTGCATATTTCATGAAACCCCATGGAGCTTCGAATCTGAGTTTTCCAGGTAGCATTGTGATTAACTCACATTTAGACGGAATATAACCTCACCTATCCTTTAATGACGGAACAAGCGTCACATGGTCACGTGTTGGCTGACACCTCAAGTGATGACTTCTCAGACGGAATTTCCGCTTATCATGTGGAAGTATTTCTTCTTTCTGAGCTAATTGCGTAGTCAAGTCATAGAATTTTCCATTTGTTCTTCCCAGAATGTACTTTACCGGACTTGCATCCCAAAATACTGTTTCAGACTAAGCTGAGTATAAAACTTCGTGCCAATAAAATTTGGTTGTTCCACTCCGAAGAAGCTCACATTGAGCTGTCTCCTTCAGTTATCAGTTAATATAAAGCGTACGCGGCTGTGGTCTCGTAAATCGTGTCAGACAGATCCCCATCTGCGATCCTTCTCCGTAAAATTTAACATGCAAACAAGGTGGACTTGCGAAGCAGATGAAAATTTTGTACGTCATAAGGCGGAACGTTATTTCTTTTATCAGTGTGGGACAGTTGAGCACGCTGTTTCGAACATTTTCCAATACCCGGTTACCGTCCAGGGCAGCTTGGGTTACCCGAGAAGACGGATGCAATGGCCTGTAAGGTGCTGTACACATTCTGAGTAATCGTGGACGCGGTTTTGAAACTCACTGCCGGACGTGAATGGCCCCTAGACCCCACTCAAGCCTGCAAGCTAGCACTCAGTTGTAAATTGTTCTACCAAAGTTAACCTCCAAAATACCCTGTTTGACCATTATGCAGCATGAAATAACAAGCGTATTTCAGAACGATAGCCGAGTAGGTTCCAACACTATGATGAAAACAGCCAGACCAAATTCGTAATCCAACTGCTGGAAAATAACAAGGTTCCAACAATTCAGTCTAGTTTCAGGCAGTTTGGAGTCCACATTGTGCAGTTAGTCAGCAGAGACCATCGTTTCGTCCAGCTTTATGGAGTTGATTTTATTTACATGACAGAAAATTTGGGACGACGGATAAAATGGCTCCAAGATGGATAAGACAATGAATACTAGAACAGAAGGTTTCATATTGCCTACCGTCACGAACTGATTGAAACCCATCGTTGTATGACGGTTATCGTGACTCTGAACCATTCAGCTATACTACGGAGTGTCTGTTGGTCCATGGTTAGAGGTTTGACCAACACAGTCCCCTGTCCCTTCAGGTTGGGAGTTGGGACATGTGTGGAGGCTTATTCCTTAAAGTGGTAGTGCACCTTCATTTCCCCGCCGAACACCGCCGCTGATTTGCGGCCGATATTTTAAGCCAAAGGCTTTAGTCGAGTACCCCAACTGTCCTTAGGTTTGGGCTACCTAGCTGTACCCCGTTGGTCCATGTTAGAGGTTTGACCAACACAGTCCCCTGTCCCTTCAGGTTGGGAGTTGGGACATGTGTGGAGGCTTATTCCTTAAAGTGGTAGTGCACCTTCATTTCCCCGCCGAACACCGCCGCTGATTTGCGGCCGATATTTTAAGCCAAAGGCTTTAGTCGAGTACCCCAACTGTCCTTAGGTTTGGGCTACCTAGCTGTACCCCAGCCAAGGTACGACCCACAAACAAGATGATGGTGCTTTAATCAGTGAGATTTGTGCAAGTGATCCATCGGGCTCCAACTGGAAAATTTTATCCCCGTTCACGAAGGGACTAAAAGGCTAAAAGGACTCGAAAACAAAGACAGAGATACAAAATTTCCGCAAAAATCGACCTCATGTCTCAGCCTTTCAGTTTAATCGATACTTAAGAACACTGACTCCTCATTACTCCCATCGCAGCCAAGTTTAAATGTTGGTCCCGATTAGGTTAATGGCACTGTATAATAATGCTTCCAGCTTCTCGACTTTATCGAAGACAAAATAAAACAATTCAGAAGGTTGAAAGCTTGGACGACCTTGGTCTTTATGTTTTTGGTTAAGTTTTATCATCGAACAGCAATATTTCACGTTTTGATAGGAATACTACGTGATAATTTGAGGCTGCCCCCCCCCCCACGGTAAGTAAGTGAGCATAACGCTAATAAAAGTGCTTGTAAAGAATACACTATCCTTGATTAAGTGAAGCAGTATTTCAAATATCATGTTTGGAAACTCTTTTGGGTCTGTGGAAAGTCGGTCTCATGGTGATGTGGGATCAAAATGGTTAAGCACAACTGTTCATATTAAGACACTTAATTCTTATATGCGGTCAGTGGGTTGTGAGAATCAGAAAGGAAATCCCTTTAGTGTTGCGTGTATCTACTATCTACCTTCTGAAGTACATGTTCTGTGCATCCCCAGGTTTGGTTGATCTTCGTTACATCATAATCATTCATCGACTGTATATTGCTCACACATCAACTGCCATCAGTGCACTAATTGTTTACGTCGTTGGGTGACCAGTTGCACTCACAACTATCAGTGTTCATCCATAAGATACATGTAGGTGATTAAGCTCTACATGTGTTAGGAGTGAAATATTATTCAGGTATTTATCGTTCTAGTTGAATGAACTGGTAAATAACACCCTTCGAAAACCGTTCGCCAGATGATAAGGGTATAACCCATATTAGTCGGATGAACTCACGTTACTTGCACAATCGGAATCCGTCCAGGCTTGGCCTCCAGTTGGATCGTGGCGGACGCAGAACGAGGTCCTTTGAAACCAATCACCTTCACGTTATACCGTTTGGTAGGCTCGAAGTTTCCGCTCCAAAAACATAATGAGGCTTCACTATTATTGATTCTGCCAGGTCCGTCGCCGAAGCATCCAGTTCGCTGCCCTGCAAAGACATACCCTTTTGTTTTGGGAATGACTGTGGTCTCCGTGAATTTTTCACCAGCCTCAGCGCAATACCAAGACCAGTCTGTAAATCCCTGTCAAACAACAGCGATTAAAAAAGCGGACGTCAGACTTTTCCGGGATGAAAAAAGTTACAGTCGGATAGAAAGCAATGTGTTGTGGAACATATAAATTTGCCATTCCTATAGAACACTGTTGTAACGAACGCAGGAACTCTTTCGTTGCGTGAGAGAGATTTTCGACTCATGGTGGGCGTGCGGCAGGGGTACTTGCTATAACACAATTTATGTCCTGTACTTTTTATTTCAACTAACTTCTTCCCGATCACGTTTGATCAAACGGTATTCTGCTGCAATATTATTTAGAAGTTCTACTTATGAAGCAAACAGTGCCTCGCAAGTTGGTCAACTCTTTTGAACACACATGTTCCACCATCACAAAATCACTTTAATAACGAATTTTTCAGAAGCTTAATGATTGAAAATACTCATAAGGTTGCTGAAAACTCTTCAATGTAGGTACACCAATCCACTACGGGTTGAATATTTATCTATTTAGATGGAAGCATTTCCTGGATAAAACAACACTGCACGAGATCATTGTCCGTATCTTTCCGTTCGCAGACGACTTATTATGACATTCTGGGGGAGAGACGGAGTTACAGTGGCTTAATAGGACATTTGGTTCAACAGTATCGTGTTTTAATCCAAGTCTATATATCAGCTATATATCAGGGAAATTTTAAAGCGATAAATGGTTGTGCGTTAGCATGCTACAAGGATATCCGCTACCTTGTCGCCACGCATATGTCAATTGATAGCAAAATAAACACGAAGATAGCCTTGAGAATCGTATTGGGAGCAATAATCACTTGAGCACTGACACAGATTGCAGTGCACCGGACTACTGCACTGTCCTGAATAATACACAACCGCGAAACCTGGACGCAATATAAACGGCATTTGCGGATTCTCGATGGGTTTCACTTGCACTATTTGCGCAAAGTTATTCAGATTAAATGGAATGACAGAATATCGTACATCAAAGTCCTCAAGAAGAACAAACACAGCTGGGATTGAATGCAGTCTAATGTAGAACATGCTCCGTTGGTTAGACCAATTAGCACGAATGCCTGAAACTCGCATTCCAAATCAACTTGATCTACGGTCATAATTCGCAACCTTGGACACCTGAAATTCTGCTGAAAGGCACCCCCAGAAGAACCCAGCACTCGACCAAACCGGCATGAGAAGCATTAAGCTACAACAAGAGCCATTCGGAAGGGGATGAATCTTCCCAATGCGGCACCATCTATATGGAATTCGGCAGTATGCGGACGCGCAGTCCCTAGTAGGATCGGCATTGTGGGTCACCGATCTAGCTGATAAACGTGACCTAGTTCAGCCGATATAAATTTGCTCAATTTTCTAATGACTTGTTGATGGACCTTCACATCTTAACGATGACAACGACCTTAACAGCATTTGGTCAGCTGGTCATCGCATATATGGTCCATCAAATTTCAAGAGAATCCCACCTCATTAATTCGACTAGCCCAAATAGAATGCACATAACGTAAAACTGTAAAAATATGCTTCGTCCAGTGTGATAACTGAACCTTACAGTGGGTTTCCTGAAACAAGGTGGATAAACCAGACAATCTACTCTTTTTCTCTTGTTTATTCAGCAATCAATCTATTGACCATCCGATGCAACTTTTGTGCGCGTGTGCCCTTAACAAGGCGGCATCCACAGCAATCGAGTTATCACTTTGGCCGGCCCTAAAATCATATCACTACATGGAAGTCTTGTTACTTGTCAAAAGACGGACATCTGGAGAATCTCGCTTATTTGTTCGTTCACGTCATCAACTGGCTCACCAGTTGACTCTACGAAGGCCTGCCTATCAGCCGGGATGTCCGCTTCCATCAGTCACACATGACCTTGCATGGATTTCCTAACCGGTTATTCATTTATCATTTCACAGTAGGCTTTCCACAAATCAACTTGCAGTCATGTCTCAGACAAACGGCTGTCTCTCATACAATCCGGATTATAACGGATGTCTGCAAACAGTCAACAGAATATATCAGAGCTCAGTCCACACATTTTCTTGGAGAATCAATTAGTAATTGTTTCTGTTCGGTCAACCAAATGGATAAACTTTACTTCCCATCGCATCCGGTAAGAAACAGGTGAATACAGTGAAGTGGCACCTCAAGGACACGCGCAATATCCTGGGTTGGAACAATAGACTGAATTGTAATTTGAAAGTAAATATTATATGGAATGATATGGCCTCAGTACATTATTGAATGAGACAACCAACCAGGTTTTCAGTGATATCCCTTGGAAATTCTCAACTCAATTTAGTAAGGATATGAAGGGGAAATTAACTATGGGCATATTTACGAAGACTGTCGCATGGATAAACTGATCTTTGCTTCGCTGCACCGAACCGGACCCTATCACTTTTAAAGGTAATACCTTCGTTTTTGAGCGCAATCTGATAACGTGTTAAATACGGTAGTTCAGTTGTTCTGCCCGACAGAGGATGGTTATTCTGCCCATCTAACATGTGCTTTTGAGTCAATCACAACTAGTCGGACGAACTTGTCCGGAGCAACGCTTGTGCTTTTTCCCAGGTCTTAGTGACAAAATCTTCATATAACGATTAAGCACGCGTTCAGGTAGCCTTATTCACTTACTTGAGGTGCTTTGCGGTCGTTTACTGCTGGATCCAGAGAATACACGCCCGGATTGAGACAGACCTGCTCATCAGCTAGTCCAATAACCAGCGTCTGCGGACTACCTTCGAGAAACTGCACAACCAGTGGAGGAAAATCAGACTGAATGTACATCGTCCGTACACTGGAAACACTAGGCAGTTCGGGAGCTACTTGGGTCACTACTTGCACGCTTGCTGAATATAATCCAGGTGGGAGACGATTTCTAGGTATCCGCAGGGACGTAGTGGTCGTGCTGGGCTGGTCACTGATATTGACCATCGCAATCGGTTGAAGCGATTCCGGGTTCAATCTTGCCACTGTCCACTGAATACTGTTTCGGCTGGTTGCACTGCATCCGGTTCCTGAGATACGGACTGTTATCAGGGTAGGCTCGTTTGATCGTACCTTCATCGGTGTGCTCGCAGACGCTATCCTGGGATCGGGCAACACTATACTGGGTGCTTCGCACTGAAACTGCATTACTGGGATTTTTATAGTTTTGATCAATTCTTGGTCTGGACTTTTCGCGCTGACCATCACGACGTCCTCACCTGGTGTGTTGTATCTTAGCGGGACCGATAGGTTTCCATTCACTGGCCGGCTAGAATTAACAGTGCTTAGCGGACGTATAACACAATCTGCAGCTGTAGCACCTACTGCTGGGTAGACCAGAGATCCATAAGTATCATTCTTCTTTACACAGATGCACGTCGAACTTGAGACGGCATCAAAGGAAACCATCAAAACAGCCTCCTGGCCTGGATTGATAACGTCTTGGTTAAGTAATTTCAGTCTTAGTCCACGAAGATTGGTTCCGATATAAATTGTCTTTCTGGTGGATGCTTGACTGAAAGGATTCCGACCTACACCTTCGATCTCAACTTCTCCTTCCTAAAAACATTTACAAAAATAAACGATTAGGGTAAATCAAACTCATCAGATTGTCTTTCTATCAACTTAACATAAACTACATTCCATTCCCTCTATTGCAAATTGTCAGTATTCCCTTCAAGTCTTGCTGATCCAAGCAATGTTTTGAATAAGTCGAGGACCACCCTAAAGTGGTAAACAAAATTCATACAATTATTGTTTGGCGGATCCGACTGCAGAACCATAATGAACTCGAATGAGGACAGAGTGATTTAACCTGTTCTGAGAAAGGTACAAATTAATGGGAAACTGGCAATAGTTTTTTTGTAAGGGGCAATAAATTACCTGGAACAGCAAAGCACATTCGAATTGGTGCTTTTAATTTACTTTGTTTCTCTGCTCTAATTCATCTAAGGATGGTGTCACAGGGCTGCTTTGTCAAAAACAATTAAGCAATTCACTCGGGAGTCAGATGATACATGAATAAAGAACGATGGTCGAAATATTTTCTACAAAAACGCAACGTCACTATGTGCGAATTGTGTATCGGGTTCGGACCATAGAGTTCCATTGGAGTTATTTGGACTGTTTTTGAAGTTTGCGGAGAAGAATGTTTTGTCAGGAATGAATAAGGAATAAATAAATCGGAAAAAAATTTATCAGAATCTACAGTGGGAATGCATGTATCAGAATAGCAAGCGCATGGATGCGTAAAAAAGTCGTATGCGTATATACAAGGGTTACACTTTTCGTGTCATTTGTCATCTAAAAAGCATGGGAGTTGCGTCTTCTTGGACCACCATAAGTTTGTACACGAAGAATTATGCACACATGTATTCATTCAAAACCTCACACTCGACATGAGGCCAAGATAGGCTAGTCTGAGGTTAGGACAGAAACTTGTAGGTTCGAGTTTCTGTCTTAAACCACCATAAAGCTGTTTGTCCACCGAGTGGCGACTGCCACACAGTGATACGCTGCATGAAGAGTGTAAGGATCTTAATTTTTTGTACCCAATCGATATTACTATTCGCCCTATTTTCTACGTGACGTGTGCCAGTTCACCGAAGTCCCTTTTTGGATGAACAGCTAGACAACTCTTTGATCCGCGTATTTCATACTGTTCAGCTGATCACGGGTGGAGTTTCTAGTGCGCGTTGCTGCAGCTGAATCAGTTATTGTACGAGACCTGTTTTGCGTTTTTCCTCCTTATCCTAAACTTTTTTTTGTGTTTTTGGCTTACAAATGACTCCTGTGTACTTCTATCCGTCACAACCGGAGGGCAGGTTACCATGTTGAATTCACATATATGTTAGCTCTGTCCGTGTGCAGAAAGTGAGTGTGCACTGTCGACGTTTTATATCGGGACTTCTGGCCGCCTGTGTGGATTGACAGCTCGGTGCCATAAGAATGGAGTAATCATCTTTTGAGTATGCGGTGTGCAGGCGATGTGCCATCAGCGGTGAACTTATACGACAACAACAATGCGACTTTCTACTCGGAATTTACTCGACCCACAAGACCATACTACAATGGTTCTCAGCGGTTATTCATGAAAAATATGCCTCCTAGGGCGACGTGTTTCGTGAGGTCACCACTACAATCCTAGAATCAACAAAGTTATAGCGGGCAACTGGTATTTTTTGCACACGATGGCTCCATCTTTTTCAGTAAGTTTGATTAGATGGAACGAAAGCTGAAAAGGACGTATGGAACGAATTCAGCGGAAAAATCCGCGAAACCTTGGATAACTAGCTCAAAGGTTAAAAAAATGTCAATCATCTCCAAGTGCAACTGAAAACTCACAGGACTGCTTGGTTGTCTAAATGTTAGTCAAAAGACGGCAGAAACAATATGGTAGCACCACTGTCACACCCGTCGATGGCTTACAGTTGGCAGTGATGACAGGACTGATTCACTGCTCCCCGGTCTGTTGGTGTTACGTTTGATGTCAGTTCCGTAATTTCAAGGTTCTACTGATGGTGGTTGCATTGATGCGGTTTCCTTTTTACTAATTGTGATGCACCAGCATCCTTTTACTTGGCTTATGTACCTCCCGGGAAGGGATCGACTTTTCTGCTTACAGCCAACGCATGAATAACAAAATAATTGTCAGTTGTGCTATGCTGAGGAAATGAATACAGCGGCATCTCAAACGTCGTACCGTGTGAAACCTGAGGATGCGTTTGTGCGACATATCCAGATGATTAAGTATAAGTTTATTCTCCCGCAACCTAATGAACAAATGAGTCTTTCTTACTAGTTTGTAAGTTTTATCCTAACTCGGCTCACTAGTGTGTTCCCCCTAACTTCTTTTTACAATGTCAGCCGAATATGAGTAGGCCGCTGACGCGACGGTACTCGGGCCTCCCCGTACAGCCTGATCATGCACGAAGCTGCCGTGGAGTCATTTTGATACGCCAGTTTGCAAGTTCTTGCGGCACTAGATAGTTTATCTGCCGTCAGTTGTTTTGTGTCCACCGCTCGGTCGGTCTGACGGTCTTTCGAGGGGGAGAAATTTCGGACGATTGAAACATTAATATAACAGTTAACCACTGGTTTAGGCTAGTATGATGTGGTTCTGATAAATAGAATTGCGTGTGAACAATAATGCAAGCTTTCGCATTGTAAAGATACTTACCGGTGAGATAACGACTCGTATGACCTATGTGATCGCTTGATCTCGATTTATTTACGCATTTCTTTTATTCAAGCAAATAAATGATGAAAAACCAGGGTGGAACTAGAATGTCAAAAGGTTCGGATATTGCAGTACCTGGTGTACTCTATTCACTAGACTTACTATGGATCAAGAATACCACCGGGGAATACCACCCGGTTTAGGTCAGTGGCCTGAAAACTAAACCCCAATATTCCATGAAACATTCTACGCAATATTGGAAGCGTGCTTTGGACCAGCAAGTTTTACGAGTGTCCTGAATAAAAAAATTGTCGTCGGATTCTCCGTAAGATTAATCTGTCTATACAACTCATGCTCCAACAGTCAAGTCTAGAGGTGGCTTTAGATCTGATTTTTCTTGTCTGTTCGCCTGTCTTATTTATTTGGTTCACTGAATATTCAGGCAATTTCTATGTGAAAAAGTGTCATCTTTCTAACAAGAATCTTTATAAGAGTGATTATACAGGACATTAGTGTGAAGTTGCAAGCAGTTGTTCGGGTGAATCCACACAAAAGAGAGGGAGCACTGGAATCGAGTCTGCTTTATGTTGTGGAACTACGCTTAACGAGCTAGTGTACCGCCTGGCGACAGTAGAACGTCGATTTTAGGATGCATAACAACTTTGCACAGTAAAGCCGTCGGAGCGACTTGAATAGTTCACTTCTCTTGCTGACAAGTATTAGACAGTTGTGCAACAGACGCAAACAAAGCATTTATCGTTTAGAACGAAAAAAGCATGAATTCGAAGCATATTCTTTTTGCAAAACCAACCTGAGTAAATTCCATTTCTTGCGAATTACCAGGCTTCCAATCCAGGATGCGCTCTTCACCGGATTCTTTCAAAATCACTTTGAAGAAAGTCTCCACCACATTATCCGGGCGGTTATCAGCGATGATTCTTAGCCTTAGCGCGTTACCTGCAGCAAACCGATCTGAAAATGGTCCGTAACCAGGTTCATTTGTGCGGGCTACCGTAACTTCAACATAAACATTAATCATTCGTCCGAAAACACCGATCTGTAGGCATAAGGGAAAAACGAATTTTCCTGTCAGATTGGATTAACATACTCAAAAGACACAACTGTGAAAATTCCCATTATGCCCTTAAATTTCAGCATCGCAAAATCTCACACATACTTGGTACATTGTTACCGACATCGGACGAAGAGATCCCTGTTTTTGGAACAACTGAATTGACGTTAAGGTTTTGTGATTATTGTTGTATTTAGACAGTACAGTCGCAAGGGGTTAAATAAATTAGAAGCGGTGTCACAGTTACTTACCCTGCTAGACTTTTCAAGTTTCCCCACACCATTTTCCAGTGTCATGTGAACGGTAAAGTAGTTAAGACTGGTTAACTTGTGAGTTAGCGTGTTCTCGGTGAATGGATTAGGGAAGCTTCCTTGTTCAGGTTTCCCTGAATCACCCCAGTCGATGGTGTACTTGAGTTTGGTCGGGAATTTTTCCGGTTGTCCGGTATAACGAATAAGAATGTTTGTGAGTCCTAATATTGGGGAGAAAACGGTGCGTTATTTAATCGTGATGTGATAATTCATCTGGTATTTAGATAAAAGGCGCACAAGTTGGATGACATAACATAGGTAACAATGTTCGACATGTCAAGGATGGCAGATAGCAGGTAGAGTGAGACTGACATGTGTACTCCAGTCGGCAAATTGGAGACATACAAATCAAATACATAAACCAATGTTCCAGAGGACCGTTCATCGCCGACGGTGAGTCATTGTCCTCTGGAACGAAGTGGAAGGGTAACAGATCTGGTTGAAATGAACAATTTTGTAACGAAAAGGCTAGAATTAGCTTGTATATTCTGTCTTATCACTGTGACTGAAAAGAATATGGACCCCAGATATCCACTGTGTACGAACTAAAGTAGTGCTGAGATCGGGCTGTCATTCCTAGTGTAAAGTCAGCACTGAAAAACTGAGAGCAATGCCTGTCATCCGCCTTGTTCGGGATTACCACAAGTTCACATCCCACGAATTTCTCCGAAGCTTCAAAATTGTAAATTTTCTAGTGCCCGTTTATACATTTTTGTTCAACCACCAGTTATCGGTCGGTAGTATAACATCAGAGAGTCAGACAGTCCATATCATGTTTTTTTCGTGTTCAGTGACGTTTCGAATAGTGGCTATTTTGAGATTGGTTCAAACAATTTGTAAGCGGATTTCTGCTAGTACGTGAGGTACTAGTATGTACCGTTGAAATCAGACTGAGCTAGTGGCAGCTTCATGCCATATACATCGCCGTGTTCCTGTTGTTGTTTCGCCGTCTCTCTTATATGTTGGACGGGTTTCCCTAACTCTACTGTGTGTCTACTCTGTATGCCTTGACGAATTAACTGTAGGTAAAATGCTGGATGGAAGAATGAGTCTGAAACGAATTAGAGTTTGACAGTACATTTGAACATTTTGTTGGCATGAACAGTACACTCGTGGATGAAATGAGATTAAATTAGTGTGAAGAAACAACTGTTGTTGCAAATGTGTTGATGTTCGAGAATAGACGTTAACTTGCCGAGGAAGGGCGTTCTCAATTCATTCGGATATGAGACCGTTCATTTTGTTGATAGATAAATATTTCACTGATGCAACAACGGACCACACTGTGATCTTTTAGACCATATGAATAACTGCTGCTACACTAGCAACGCCATATCGAAGTGAGTTATCTCAAACGTGGGATCTTGGATGCCCGAATAGTTTCTTCTAACCGAAGAATACCTAGTAGGCTGGCAGCTACTACATATAAATCACAGATGTAGTTAAAACAGACCACAAGATGGTTATATTTCATTCTAGTTACGGTTTAAAAAGTAAACCCAACTTGATGGGAATGAAATGCATGGAGATATAAAGAATAACTGTTCTGTTGAGTGTTTTGAACGAGCACCTTCAGAGCACACATTCGCAAGTAACCGATCAGATCCCCACCTGAATTCAGTCCCTAGATTCTGGTGCTCAAAATCCTTGGGGTATCGTAGACAAAAGGATGTCCATGGGATGATCAGCTGACATGTTACAGAGTCACAGGTCTATCGAAAGATGAATGGGCGCATAAAGTGATCGTAAACACAAAACAGTCCCACTTCACGAGATCACAAAGTACAATTCAGTAGTATTGTAGGTGATACTGCGCGGGCCAAAATCAAATTTGCTCAACTATAGAAGAGCGGTTATGGTGTCGAGTGTTCCATGGGCACAAAAAACATGGGAATAGAGAAGCATTTGGTACCTTCATAATTCTCAAGTAAATTTCGGAAAATGACTTCCATATTTTCTATGGGGTTTCTGACATCCGCTTCCAGTTTGCATGTTTCACTCCGTACCATATTGCTAGCTGTTATGGTAATCGGATACACGCCGGCCGTTTGATACACATACGGCAGGGTAACGGGTTGTGCCACTGCAACCAAAATGAAAAACGGAAAATCTTATAGTTTTGCGTTTGAACTGCAGTAAATAAAATTACTGAAACGCGAAAATGAATAAAGGATTATTTAATTTCTGTCATGATGTTCCAAAATATAAACTCGTAGCAAAACGCTTTTTTATTAAAAGGTCAGCTGTGGGGGAACACTTAGGAATATTATACCGAAGACCAGCCAACATATTCTGGCACAGAGAGGAGACCACTTTTATCAAACAGTTCCTAGCACATGATTAAGGCCAATAAATTTTGATGCAGTTGCCCCTTCTGGTAAGTGATTGAATCAAAGTGGTATCTTTTGCGAAGTGATCTCCTTGAAGAGGCATCCATTTAGGAGCTACTGTGGACTTGTAGCAAAAAATGGCGATATTCGTTGACCCATTAGATAGTGTAAGAATAAATCGGAGAGGCGTAGACGATGATAATCGATCATGGCACCAGCTGCAAGCTAAAGATTTGGGTAACCGTCTTCTGCGTACTACACCACATGGATATTACTGAAACGCGAAAATGAATAAAGGATTATTTAATTTCTGTCATGATGTTCCAAAATATAAACTCGTAGCAAAACGCTTTTTTATTAAAAGGTCAGCTGTGGGGGAACACTTAGGAATATTATACCGAAGACCAGCCAACATATTCTGGCACAGAGAGGAGACCACTTTTATCAAACAGTTCCTAGCACATGATTAAGGCCAATAAATTTTGATGCAGTTGCCCCTTCTGGTAAGTGATTGAATCAAAGTGGTATCTTTTGCGAAGTGATCTCCTTGAAGAGGCATCCATTTAGGAGCTACTGTGGACTTGTAGCAAAAAATGGCGATATTCGTTGACCCATTAGATAGTGTAAGAATAAATCGGAGAGGCGTAGACGATGATAATCGATCATGGCACCAGCTGCAAGCTAAAGATTTGGGTAACCGTCTTCTGCGTACTACACCACATGGACCTGAAACCAATCCTATTAGTGTCAGTGTCCATAAGACGCTGACAAATGTGTATGAAATTAAAATAATGAGTGCAGTCAAAGGTTTGAATTTTTACTCTTCTGTATGTATAGCTCACAGACCAATGAATGCGGATGACCTAACTTATATAGACAGGAAGGACACGTGATCAGTTTGCACCAATCTGATCCCCATATAGATAGTGGACACAGGCGGCTGATGATGTATTCGACAAGCTCTCAGTTTTTCTAAAAGGAATATTGACCAAAATATACCACAGTGGGCTATTCCTGGTTTCAATTAAGACGTCCAAAATGTAATAGGAACTCAAGCGACCAACTACATGGGTCTGTTGGGTCTTTGTGGGCTCTTCACACGAGGGCACTCTTGTCAATTGGTCCAGTGTGACGGAATGCTGGTTTTTGCTTCCTCACTTCATATAAGTGCAGTTTAGAAGGGCTAGCTCGATACCTTCTATCCACCAGATACAGTTTTAAACATTTGCTTGGAGATTATCTTCAACAGTCCAGTGCAACATACTCAAAATTTATAGGAGGTATGGAGTAGTGTGTCGAGGCACATTATCTTCGGTGGTCATCGGAACGTTGGACAGCTGGCCAAGAGTAGATACAAACTGAATTCGATAATTGTAAGCATTGTCATAAACAACCGGTCAAAATTATTGCGCATGCATAAGCATTTGAGTGAATTATATTCTGTGAAAAGTGATGCATGTCCCGGGACAAGGATAAACTCTTCCGTCCACAGCGACCGCAAGGAAAGCAAGGCAATAACCAAGTGTTTATACCAAAAAACACTCCACGGTATCTCAAATATCTTGTTAGATGGCAAGATATGATATTGCCTTCGTGCAGAACATCCAGCCGAAAAAAAGTATCAGTTCATTCTCCCATAAATACGAAAGCAATTTGTGGGTGTGTGTATCTTGTCAGTTGCGTACAAGTTGTCAATGTGCCGAAATATCGGTAGATCCGCTGCGTTTAATAGTGGTTGATCACATGACCGTTGATGTTTGGCATGTGGGTTGTAAACCCTTTATCTCCAATCGAGGGACGTCGTCAGTTGAGTGGGTACCTCCTCCTAATTGGTTTTTGAAGAGTATTTAATATCCTCTCATGTGATTCGCCAACTGGTATTAACCTTTTCATTAAGATTATTGGCCCGTTTGTGACTTGCACTCTGTTGTGGTATGTACATCGCGCATTCCGTTTGTTGGTTGGATAGCTTGTTTGGGGTGTTTTAGTTCCGTTTTGGATCAGTCCATTCCTAGTTTGTGTTGCGCTATGGTCTTTTATTGCTTGGATTAGGTTGGTCGTGATGGCGATTTCAATTTGGTAGTTTCTTTCATTTAGTCTGAGTGATCCGTTCTTGGGGTGCACCTCAGACTCATCCGCTTGGTTTAGGTTAGCCCGCTTTACTTTCACAGTTCATGTAGGATTTTCTTTCTCGTGTTGGCCGATTTGGTTGCGCTTCGATAATCAGTTCGATACCTTCACATATTGATTTGTTATATATCGTTTTTCGATTTCTCGGTTCTATGCTAATCCAGGAAAGTAGGTTAACCCCCTTGATTTTTGTTTTGCTTTGTCTGCCTGCCTGCCTGCCTGCCTGCTCTATACCTTTTCAATCCGGTTTGTTAAGCGGCTTTGCGGTCCGTAGTTCTGTAGTTCGTTTTCTCACAGCGATCAACAGGCTGGGACGATTTCAGTGTGTTTTCATGGCCTTTCAGTGAATTGCCATGTTTCCGTGAGTTCACGTTCTTTCTTTGTTCTCACCTCAGTCAATGTGTGAACGTTGCTGCAATCGAATTTGTGTCCATCTTGATTTTCGTCTACAGAGACAAGTGGTCGTGTCGTTCGGATGCAAGTTTTTTTCATGCATCCTGGTAGAGTGTTTCCTTCCTGTTTGTCCTACTTAGCATTCTATCATTTTCGAAATATTCCTGGTGTATGGAAGAGTGATCCATTTGCCTTCTCGTTCCGTTGAGTTGGCCGCATTGGGTTTTCTGGGCGTCCGACAGTTAAAGTTTCCGGAGAAAGCTTTGCACAAACCCCTTTTCTCCAACTTTTGACTCCGTAGTGCTGCAAGGCGTCTCAGTATGCTTGCAAGGGGTCCGGATGCAGTTTTTCTTGTGACAGTACGGATAATTGCTGTGGTAGCTAAGAATGAGGTCAGTATGTGTTAGCTCTGCAGTTGTCCATTTGACATTCTCGTGAGGAGAACGTCAAAGAATGTCAGTTTTTAATCGGTTTATTCTTCCATTGTTAAGTTGATACATCTAAAAATGCTGTTTAGTAGTCGACTTGTTCATTGTAGTTCACTCCTTTTCATGATGGCAAGTATCGTCTACGCTGTGGATCCATATCTTGGAGTTTATAACCTGAAGTACAATCCTTTCCAGTTGTTGCATTGAAATTTCTGCAATAAATCAAGGAATCGGAGGTCCCATAGGCGTTGCTCGGAGTTATCTCAGTTTAATTCAAAATATGTGGTCGAGCATAAGCTGAGCGATTCATAAAGCCCTTCTTTTTTTGAAGCTCAGTTTGATATGCTGTGTCTCTCAGTTAGTTCGGTGATAGCTGTCTTGGCGGAGTCCAGATCTACAGATCAGAACAGTGTGTTTGCATCAAAGGAAACCATTGTTTTATCCTTTTCAATGCTTATATTCCCAAATTTTTTAAGAAGTGCTCCAGATTGTTCACTGAATATTATGGCCTAATGATGAGATATTTTAACCCCCCCTCCATAGTTCATTCAACAGCCTGTGTTGGAGTCCCCGGAATTGATATGACTGATCGTCGCAGGGTTGTCTCTTTATGTACTTTCGGGAGTCATTAGAAGCGGTGTATGGCCGAAATCTGAGCTCTCATATTCCAGTACTCTTCTCTTGTAATCCTTCGAAGCTCTTGAGTCTCTCCAATTTTTTTCATTTTGTCTGCGACTTATTTGCCTTCGTCATTCTAAATGGAGTGGTACGTATTGGTGTCGTTCAGTAGAGCTTTCACCCTACCTATATAGTCTGGCCTGTTCATGCTGACTGTCAGACGTTGTTTGTCGGCCGGTAGACTGATGACTGTCTCGCCTTTCTTTAGCTTGTTCATTGCCTCATTTTCTTTGCTTGACGGGCATTGGATGCTTTGCTATTAGAATGGATGGAACTACGGTTTGGTGGAGATGTTACTGGATCCTCATCATATTATAGGTTCGTGGTATCTTTGGAGTCGATATCAAGTCCTTTGATTACAACATTCTGTTCTGCTTCTGTGAGCTGTCTATTGGAGAGGCTCTTTATCCAAGTATCATGGTAATTCTTCTTTTTCCAGCTACCAACCAACCAAGATATTCTGCTTTCAAAACTGGTCTTCTTGTCTTTAGAGGTGGATCAGACCACATGTCCCATCACAATAGTGAGTTGTAGAAGCTCAGGTTCGTGGCTTTACCCTCATTCTACGGTATGAACTTCAAACGTGTCCCAAAGCAATCTGTCTATATAGCGTGCAGTATTGAGCAGGATCCGTCCATAGAACCTTCTGGTTTATGGAGACAAAGGACAATCGAACAGAAGAGTACCTAGAGACTAGAGATGTTAGTTTGACGTCTGTTAGGACTTCCTTGAAAAGAACATTAGATCCGTTGTGCTGAGGCTAGCAAGGAAAGTGCGGGGGCGGTTGCTTTAATGTTATCAGCAACAACACTACCAGCCAACACTACCGTGCGGCTGCATTTTCTGGCGCTCCGCCTTTGGAACAGTTTTCTTGGATCTATTCTCTCCTACACCGTTGATCTGCCTATCAATCGCTTGCTCTCCGCAAGCTAAATTGATCTGTGTAACTTCTGAAATCCTGTCAGTCGCCGTTGAGGAGCTACGGATATTGGAATCTGGCTCACGTCACGGATTCCACATCCTACACCGTTGATCTGCATATCAATCGCTTGCTCTCCGCAAGCTAAATTGATCTGTGTGACTTCTGAAATCCTGTCAGTCGCCGTTGAGGAGCTACAGATATTGGGATCTGGCTCACATCACGGATTTCACGTACACGCGCACAACTACCCGCAATTTCCGAAGATACTCCACGTTGCCTACACGAAAAGGTAGCCCGCGACGAGTTCTATCCTTTGAAACAAAGATCGGTGAAGATTTACGGGTGCTATCGAGAAATCTGTCCGCGCAAGTTTCACCATTGAATCCCTCTTCGTTGCGGATCGATAATCACTGGCCTTCCGAGTTGACTGTGTTCACAACTTCTGCTAACCGGCTAACGCACTTGTTTTCGTAAACTGCATGTGCACGCCTGTTGTGATAGAAAACTAACTGATGCAACGGTGCAGATTGTTAATGATGCCAGTCACCCTTCAGTATGTTATCTATGTGTCACTTGTAGAGATAATATCTTGAATAAGGGGAGCCAAAATGCGAACACAAATGACATCAGCAAAAGGAACGACCTAATGGAGATTAGACTGGGCTCATTAGAGAAACGACTAGAACATAGCAAAGAGCTGTTACAACCACGTGAGTCTGGGCCGGTGGGGGGAGTGGAGCATGTTGGATTAACAAAGAACTCCATACCTTTGTTACAAACCAATGTAGTAACGTCAAAAAGGCCACTGAGTCCAAAACTATGTTGCTCAATAATAAACGGAAAGCATCATCGGGACTTAGTGTTATTTGCATTAATGTCACAGAACCTTGCGATACGTTATTACAGGCGAGACACAAGCGCGAACTGGAGGAGTGGTTCAAACTTTGCGCTAAAATGAAGTCAAAACCTATCGAGCCAATTTCCCTAACACGATTAAGTCGACCACCGAATTCGCCACATAACGGTAAGCCAAGACTTCTCAGAGTTACCG